AAAAGTACGTGGAACAAAAATAGGCAATGTATGCACGTAATATAAATAAATTTAAGTTTACTTAAATTTTTTTTATTGTAATCAATAAATGTCCTCCTTGAATGTTAAAGTCTGAAATATTGTAAAGCTGTTTTTTTTTTATAATGGTCATTATGGGTCTGAACTTTCCCTATTTCGGTCAAGTCAGGGGCGTTTTCAGACCCATTTTCATTATTTTCCTGTTAACTCTGAGTGGTAATTACTGTAAATTTGGATTATCTCCCTTTGCAAAATTGGTTTATTTCTCATCTTAAAGATATGTATGCCGTGTTAAACAGTATTTTTGCACAGCTGAAACCAAACAAAAATTTCTGGAGTATGATAAGCTACCAAAAATGAAGCATTCTTGTAAATTCGACGAAATTTTATTCGGTATTAACAAAGTAATGGTCAGGAAAAGAACACGATATTCTCATGCATATTTATAAAGTATTGACGTTTATCCTGGATCTGCGCATGTGCGCGGGAAAAGCATCGCGAGAATCATCAGATCGAGGAAAATATATTTTGTGACGTTTGTTCAGTGAGGGACACAAATAGACCAATCAGCTCAATGAGTTGCATTTAATGCATTTATGAGTTACTACATAAAATACTACATGTGTTTTTCAAAAAGGCTAGTTTTTTAAATCGCTCTCAGAAAGACTTGATGCATTATGTACATTATTATCTACTAATCCCATGCTCATATTTGCATACAAATGATTAACAATGATGAAAATTAAAGTTTTCCCCACTCCATTGTACAGGTCCGTTTGTTTAGAGTTTCCCCGTGCTGTACTGCTAGTGGACATTTTCGGTTGGGTGAACATTTACGGATCTTCAGTATGGAGCGCATTATGCGCAAAAAATATTTTATGTCAAGTACAATGTATGGAAAGTAATTTAAACTGATATGTTTACACCCTGAATGGGATATCGTCAATTATCCCTTTTGGTTTTTTAATATGAACTACATAACATATGTAGATGAAACTCACATACCATACATCTTGCCTTCTTAGAAATATAGTTCGGCTAATAAAATAAAATTGGTCAAGGAATTCCAGGCCTCTAAAAACTATTCCAGTTTGAGGGCACAACCAAGCATTGCGATTAACACCTTTAAGAAAAATTAATTCAGGTAGGTAGCATCGGGTTTTTTTTTTAAGTGGGTGGGGGAATAGATTGATTGATTGATTGTTGGACTCCCTCTCGAGAATTTTTTACCGGTGGAGAGCTGCAAATTTTGTCCTATACTCGACACTCAGGGCCATTGAGCAGGGAGGGATCTTTTTCGTGCCAGCACCTACTGCGACACGGGTCCTCGGTTTATACGGTCTCATCCGAGGGGTGGGGGGATAGAACAGTTAGAATAAAAATCAACTAGCTCGAAGAAATCTGACAAGTAAAATAGGTTCCAATATCTTTCACTACATTGTACTAAACATGACTAAATTTTATTCATTCACTACAATTTACTGCCAAACTTCAAATTTCACTTTCGAATTAGCCCGAGCCATTGCTGATAACCTAATTGCAAGATTTTTTATATTATTTTCAAGGGGTCAGAAATACTGTGGTTCATATGTAAAGAATATATTTATATTATTTAGTAGTATTCTGGTTTTGGCATTCGGTATATTGTGCAGATTTATATATGATATTCTGTGGAATACTTTTTGTTGTTTTGAACCATTAAGAAATGCAGAATCAATGTATCTAATAACCATTTTGATTGATCAAATTATATCATTTGCTTGTATTAGTTATTTCATTTTGGCACAACATGGTTTCCACACTTCTTTATCCATAGTCGCTGACATCTGTAGAAGTTCACCCAACCGAAAATGTCCATTGAAAAGACAATTGCACGTGATCATTCCTCGGTACAAAAAGTAACCAACTCTGAGGTGCTCTCAATATTGACAATCCCTAACTCACGTGTTTGTAGTAATATTGTAGTAGACCATCATGCTTTTCGGTTCATTCACGAGATTGGACCATTGTTTGCTGTAAACACGCGAGACAACGTGATCATGAATATTTCAATAAGAGGCGGTTTTTTATCCGACACGGAGAGAAAATAATTTTTACCAAATAATATTTCATAACTTTTAAAAGTGATGGAGCGGAATTGTCTTATTTTCAGAAAGTATATAACTTATATAACTTGATGAGACACCACATATATTTATTACTTTTAAAATAAAACACTAATACGGCATATATAGCTTTAATATTTTGTGTCTGCTGAAAATTATATGTCGTTAAAAATACTTTTGAGAATTTCAAACAAATTATTAAACGTCACAAAGGTGGCAACACACGACAAACTGTTTTACAGACTTTTTACTCATTGAAAGAGATTAGATAAGATAAGGTGTTCTAGTGTTGAAAGGTTTATGGAAAGAAATTAACTTCTTCATGGGTAACCGGGCTATCAAAATACTTATTGCATTAAAATAAAAAAAAATATGTACAATAATGGAAAAAAGTACGTGGAGCAAAAATAAACAATGTATGCACGTAATATAATAATTATTTTAGATACAATAATGGTAAAAAGCACAGGGAATAGAAATATACAATGTATGCACGTAATATAATGATTATTTTATTTAAAAAATAATGGAAAAAAGTACGGGGAAGAGAAATAGAAATTGTATGCATGTAATGTAGAAATTATTTTATGTATATTATGGGAACAGTACGTGGAACAAACAGAGACAATGTTTGCACGTAAAATAATATTTGTTTTACATACAATAATGGAAAAAGTATATGGAGCAAAATTAGTCTTCATTACTGCTTTACTTTGTGCGTGGATGAATTTGAAGATTTAAGGACAGATGATACAAAAACATTTTTCTTTGAAGGAGACTTAATTACAAATATTTTCCAAATCTATTTCATTTTCCAGTCCTTAGGAGAGAAAAATTCTAAGAATTATTCGCTTTTCTAAACTTGTGACATGATAATAATGGTAAGTCCCTTTCAAAGAAAAAAATTTGTTTGTATCATCTGCCCTTAAAGGTACATGGAAACAGTTTCAACGAAAAATTTTCAAAATTATTTTTCCGTTTTTACAAATATTTAACTATAAGGTCTATTTATTGATCATCAAAAATTTGAACTTCAATTGTTGAGATACAAGACAGATTTACAGCTCTAAACCGTTGTTAAGTAAACAGGATCTATGTCATGTTTTCTTTTTTATTTACCTAGGCTAATATACTAATATATGCTCATTTAAAGCAGATAATTTCAATGACGAAGTTAATTCTAAATACGATTAGACAATTTTTAGTGATTTTCTGAATTTCATTTTGTTATAAATATGATATTTTCTTTATATTATACTTTCATGTAAATTATTTGAATCTGATTCGTCGAGAAACATATGATAAAAAACACTACTACCCGCTGAATAATGAAGCCACGCCCTCCTGCGTAGCAACAGGCAACATTGCTTGACGACGGGTGGTATTACAAAAAATAGCGACTGCGCGGAATTTATGCGCGCACGGTTCACTGTAATATGTATTTGTATAAAACATTCAGTATAATATAATAAATATTGCATGTAGTTGAGTGTAACATTGAAAATTTTCACCCCTCGAAAACCAATGTCGATCGAGGTGCAAATGGTTCTCTTGGGGTGAAAATTTTCAATGTTACACTCAACTACATGCAATATTTATATAATGTAAACAAAAACAAGGCACAAGCCTTGTTTACATTATGAAGAAGTTTAAGTTCTGTATCTCGTTTGTTAATCAACAAATGATGTTCAATTTTTTGCTGATCATTAGATGATTCCTTATTTTAGAATTGTAAACATTAAAATTGTTAAAATTGGTGCAGAAAATTTAGTTGAAAGTGTGTCAATGTCCCTTTAAAATATTTAAATAGGTCTTCTAATATATATTGGAGACGTGCCCAAAAGATAAATATGAGTACATGTATTCGATCGGAAGAGACGACATTTGAATAGTTTAAACCTGCACTGACAAGGATATCAGAAGATGGCGTCAAAAATTAGTGGTATTTTTCTTTATTGTCATCTTTGGTGAAGTCTTTAACATTATCTAAAGAGAGAAATTGTTGATCTCTTATACTTTTGTTCATTCGTATCGAAAAATTTCAGTAATCAAATTTATATTTGGCTGGGATTGAAGCTATTTAAGTGTAATAATATGTATATGTTTCCTGTTTTTGAAGACAGAATGTCATTCTGTATGCATTGGATGGTTGGACATAAGTCCAAAAAGTCTGCCGACGGAAATGTTTTCTACAGGTAGCTTATGCCACCTCTGAAATATGTAGGTCCCTGTTTTATGCGCTCTTCAGATATTTGTCTTGTTTATAGATTTTTGGGGATTTACCACCGTTCGTTATTCCCACCCGTTTCATTTAAATCAACTGTTTCCCAAAAGGCATTCTGTCCGACAACTCAAGCAGTAAACATTTTATTAATATAATGACTAAAATTGTGCAGGCTTTCTGTGTTCGATGCAGCTGGAAAACATAAATTATTTTTATTTTTACGCGGCAAGCGATCGGGCTTGATCTTCTACAGAATTTTCAATAACAACTTATAATAAACAGTCATGTATTTTATTCTATTATATCGGAATGGTCTTACCTACATTGAAAAATCAATTCGATTGTAAAACCTAGCTGTAAAACAATCAAACGCGGAAAATGTCGTTTTAAACAATAAAATGCTCTCTTTGGTTTCTATAGTATAGTTAAATTTGTTATACCCTTATAAATATCATTCTATATATTTATTACTAATAAAAAGTCCAACAAAAGAAATGTTTTTTACATCGGTCTAACAATCACTATTGACCGGTCCTACATAAGAATTATTAGACCGCAACGTCACTGTTACGTCACAGGTAGTTTTCGTTCAATTTCGGCGTCACGGAAATAACCGAAGCTTAGTGCTGCAAGAGTTGTCGTTTGCTACAAAGATGGCGTCACACAGTAGCCAGAGTAGGTTCTCGAATACAGACGAGAGTGAAATTGAAAGTATACTTAACGAAAGGGACAGTAAGAACACTAAGAACGTAATTAGATCCGCTGAAAACATTTTAAACGAATTTTTAGTGCATACATGTGATACTTCTCTGTCGGAATTACGCTTAAAGCCAAATGAAGAGATCTGTAATGTTCTTCGAAAATTCTACTGTGGGGTACGAAAACAAGATGGATCAATGTACGCAAAGTCTTCGATGATATCCATGAGGTTTGGTCTTCAGAAGTCGTTCATGAAATCAAATGATATTGACATTGTTAACAATGAAGAATTCAGTCGTGCTAATGTGGTGTTTTCGGCTTGTCTCGTGAAAATTAAGAGAGAGGGGACTGGAGAAGTAAAGCATAAAGAAATCATCAGTGACGGAGACATGAAAAAACTGTATGACTGTGGCGTTTTCAATGTCGATAACCCCAAGACTTTACAATGGAAGGTCTTTTTTGAAATTATGTTACATTTTTATAACAGAGGACGAGAGAACTTAAGAAACATGGAAAAAGATGATTATGTCATTAATGTAGATGCGGATGGGAGGCGCTTTGTTGTGAATAACATATCACGACTAACAAAGAACCACAGGGGAGACTCTGGGGATGATGACACTAATGCTGCCCGCATGTACGAACAACCAGGTATGTTGATTTCTCTTCTTATAATTTCAAATATTGAAAAAAAAATTATTTGAGTCAAACAATTTTGAAAAAAAAACATAAATTAACAAGCTATGTTTCTTTAATTATCATTTAGGAAACCCCAATTGTCCAGTGGCTAGTTTTGAAAAATATATTCAAAAACTGAATCCAGAATGCAAGTCGCTGTGGCAAAGACCAAAATCACTGCCAGCATCATTTGACCCTGACAACCTTGACCTGTGGTATGACAATATGGTGGTGGGGAAAAATACACTTGGAAAATTTATGCAGTTAATCAGCAAAGAGGCCAAACTTGCCACAGCCTACACTAATCATTCTATAAGAGCAACATGTATTACAATCTTGGACGAATCGGGGTACGAATCGAGACATATTATGGGGATATCAAAGCACAAATCTGAGACAAGTTTGAAACACTATTCTTCTAAATTGAGTGAAAAACGTAAAAGAGATATGTCAGATGCTTTGAGCAGGAAAATACATGTGTCAAAATTTCATGGTTCAGAAGTATTTCCATCAAGGCCCTCATCATCAAGTGTTCAGTCAATCACATATTCTCATGGATCATCATCTATGTCTCTTCAACCAACCTCAAATGCAGTCCCCGGGGCTTTCAACGAAATAGTGCAACCAGTTTCCGAGTCCATTGACTGGCTTGGTGATGTTGATGATGACGCACTTGCAGCAGTGTTAAATGACCCTACGATCTTTGCAAATATTCAGGAAATTCCAAAGTCTTCAGTGTCCACTGTAACGCCTTATAACTTTCATGGCTGTACTGTTACAATTAACAATTATTCATCCAATACAGGGGGTCAGTCATAGATATCTGTGATTTACTTTCTGTGATAAACGGTTGTGATATCCAGTGTGATAACTAAACTGTGATTAACGAAATTTATTATTTCTGTTATTTAATTATTAATTTCTCTGTTAAAATTATAACATAGTTAATAGTTTTATTGTTTGTTAAAGTTTTTTTTAATTGTTGAAGCCAAAAAGTGCAAATGAATTTATTGTTAAAAATATTTGTTGATTAAATCAGTTCTTAAGTCTTCACATTGTGTTTTAATATGTATATATCTTATGTGAAGGGTATAACAAAACAGTTATAGACTGGGATTCGGGCAACATATGATTTGTTGGACCTGAAGGTGAAAATGTTGCCCTCGGCCTGCGGCCTCGGGCAACATTTTCACCTTCAGGTCCAACAAATCATATGTTGCCCTCATACCCAGTCAATAACTGTATAATATATTATATTTTCTTTTTATGCAATAGCTGTGACGTTAATACCCGTGCTAACAAACAGGAAAAGGCATTTTATTGTTTCTATTTATTTCTGTATGAAAAAAAACAAAATAAATTAAAATTTATATATATTAAATATTTTATTACGTATTATTTGCATGCATAACTGATCGAACAGTCATTATACAAGAAATCTATGCAGGGTGTATTCGTCTACTTATTCCCACTTTTTAAAAATTGCAATTCTAACTATTCCCACTTGCCAATAACAAAAGATGTTTAGAAAGTTAATTTGCTTTAAAGTAATTAGACCATTTAACCCCCTCCTAGTTTGACTTGTATTTTGTACTTGTTATGATGGAAAATAGCGTATAGATTGCTTGAAAATAGTATTCATTTCATTCAAATATACGGATTTGAGAAAATAACAAAAAGGTCTTGCAAGAAAATGCACTTATTTCAAATGACCACGGGTAATAGATCAATTATAAAAATTATATATATATATATATTTTAGTGCTTTATATATATATATATATATATATATATATATATATATATATATATATATATATATATATATATATATATATATATATATATATATATATATATATATATATATATATATATATAATATATATATATATATATATATATATATATATATATAAATCAAAATTAAATCCAAGATAAACAAACAAGTTTACGTTTAATTTTTTACACTAAGCGCTTTCGCTTTTTTTTTTTAGTGTAAAAAATTAAACGTAAACTTGTTTGTTTATCTTGGATTTAATTTTGATTTATAACTTAACCTATACCATGGACTTCTACAACATTTTCCCTATATATATATATATATATATATATATATATATATATATATATATATATATATATATATATATATATATATATATATAAAGCACTAAAATGACCAACGACACGAACAATAAAAATTGTCAAATTTTCGGGACGCCCTGTCCCTTCCTCGGGACAAAGAAAAAAGTTAAAAGGTCATAAGAACAAAGGAAAAAGAACAACAAAAACAACTAGCACTACTACTAAACTACTAAACACTATATATTTGCAAACTTAGTTACATGTTGAATTGGAAATTTTTAAGAACTCTATAATTAAAGAAAGAAATCCGGACCGCTATGAAATACGTCCGGTCTATCGGGTATACTCGGGTGAAGTGCCATTTACACAATTGAACGAATTAATTATGCTAATTAATTACGCAATCAGTAAATCGTACATATTGAGAGAATGAAACAATGTACGATTTATTGATTGTCGTAATGAATTAGCAAAATTAATTCGTTCAATTATGTAAATCGCACTTCACCCGAGTATACCCGATAGACCGGACGTATTTCATAGCGGTCCGGATTAAATATAGTGTTCTTAAAAAATTCTTTAAAGTCCTAATTTTTAATAGATCATAATTCATATTTTAAAAATATCCCTGCTGTATTATTTTTCTTTGATTATTCTTTATCAAGTATAGTTACGCCATAATGAGAGAATGAAACAATGTACGATTTACTGATTGCGTAATTAATTAGCATAATTAATTCGTTCAATTGTGTAAATCGCACTTCACCCGAGTATACCCGATAGACCGGACTATTTCATAGTGGTCCGGATTTCTTTCTTTAATAGTGTTCATAAAAATTTCCAATTCAACATGTAACTAAGTATGTAAATATATAGTGTTTAGTAGTTTAGTAGTAGTGCTAGTTGTTTTTGTATTTCCTTTGTTCTTATGACCTTTTAACTTTTTTCTTTGTCCTGAGGAAGGGACAGGGCGTCCCGAAAATTTGACAATTTTTATTGTTCGTGTCGTTGGTCATTTTAGTGCTCTATATAAATTTCCATCCGTGACCTTGTATCTACTTGGTAGATCCGACATTTAGGATATACAGTGTTGTTGGTTTTTTAGTGCTTTATATATATATATATATATATATATATATATATATATATATATATATATATATATATATATATATATATATATATATATATATATATATATATATATGAAAAGAAAGGACAGATGTTACCTTTTGTCACCTGTATTTAGATAAAAAATAATGTTTAGAAAGTATTTTCAAGAAAAAAAGGGCAGGAAAAAAGGAAATGGTTTTGAGAATTTATCAAAATTTAAGTACTTTGTGATATTTTTTGCTGAATGCCGCCGGCAGTTTCAACATCATTGTTTTCAGGGGAAAATCTTCAGCAAATGAAAATTTTTTTATAGTTTTAATTTAAATTTGATGTCCTGGTGCATATCTAAATAAAATACGACGTCTTACTTCTCAATGTTAAATTTTGAATAATTTCAGAGTAATGAACTCCGAAACAGGTTGTTCTAAAATAACAGTATGGAAAGACATGTGTCTTATTTATTTTTTTAGTTTATTAGTTATATAAGGTATTCAACTGAAAATTTGACAGAAAATTTTGAAAATCCGGACCTACCTTAAACGAATACCTGACTTCGTTCAACCAAAGCTTCCTACTATTCAACTTAGCTGTACGAGTAAAAAGGACATCCCTGATGTTTTCTTTTACCAAACTTGCTTTATTACAATATTTGCTTTGCTCAAAGTATGTATCATATAATCTTTATTTTCACAGAGCCACACACACAAGAGGAGGTTGACAAGAAAATATTATCCGTTGCAATCGATGTTGGATCCTCATATTCTGGATATGCTTTCTCCTTTCGAAGCTCGCCAACTGCAATTATCACAAAACAAATGGGATACATATGGTTGCGAAGGATTTTCACATAAAACGCCATCTTCGATCCTTCTTGATTCCACATACAATTTCAAAGCTTTTGGATATGAAGCGGAGCAAGAATTCTCAAAACTTGTTACAAACCAACAATCAGAAAATTATTTGTTCGTAAAGAATTTCAAAACAGAACTTTTGAAAGATAAAGTAATTACCACAGAGATTTTAAGTTTTATTGTAATTTTTATATACATTTGAGCACGAAGAAATTCCATCCAAACAAAATTACGACAAAGTTTCTCCACATTTATTGAAAGATCAAAGGGCCTTGCTTTACTATATATGATAATTTATATCTTATATTTTATATCCAGGGACTTGAAAGACACCTACTCATACGAGATGTATTGAAACGATATGTTCCAGCACATGGTCTTTTCATTGAAACAATTCGATTTCTCAGAAAACACTTTTTAAAGGCACTGAAATCTAGGGGACTAGAATTTGATGAAAATGACATCCAATACATTTTAACAATTCCTGCAATTTGGACTGATGTGGCCAAACAGATTATGAGAGAGTCGGCGAACTTCGTAAGTACATACTCTCACTGAAATACACCCAGTTATATCTTTCTGAACAAATTGCATAATAGCAATAATTTCAAGATTAATCTGCAATAAAACATACATTTATGGAGATAACAAACAGTATTCAAGCTCAAATGTCCATTCAAAAAATACAAATCAGGAGCAGAGTAAACAAAGACCTCTAAAACATCAGAGGTGGGATCAGGTGCGATAGAAAACTGAACATCCCATACCGATCGGTCCTTAGCATAATCAACGAATAACGCCACGAAATTCCGACTTCAGTTCATTATTTTGATAATGACATAACAATAACCATGATTACTGTGACGAACATAAGAGAACATTTGACTGATTTAATGTGTAATTCTTATTCAATTTAGGCAGGTATCAAATGCCAGAATCTTGAACTCGCTTATGAACCGGAAGTAGCAGCCCTCCACTGTAGAAATATCCCTCTAGAGAATTTGTGCGGATCTACAAACAGTTTACGAGAAATGTTTTTGCCTGGAAGGAAGTTTGTTGTACTGGATTTAGGAGGTAAATTAAGGAAATGCAGCTCAACGCGCTTTTTAAGCTCACATGGTATTTCGCACAAATTAAGGTCACATTGTTGTAATGAAAATTAACATTTTCGAACTGCTGTACAATGACATAACCCAACGTTATATTACATATACAGTGTCAAGCATAAATGTCTTTTAGAATTATTATCTTAAGTTTCCAAAGTGGATGTTTTAAAGGGGAATTTATAGATAAATGGATGATGTTTCGATTATACGATTCTACCATAGCTTTTTACAAATTGCATAAAACGATCTTTCATTGATACATGTAGTTGAACATTTTAAATTTTCATATTAACGTATTTTTAAAAGATCTTTGCTCATTTACCATACTCCTCTTTGTTTTGTCGAAATGTTGCACCAAAAGGGATAACATTGCAGAAGGAAACCACACTTAAGGGTAGGATAATGAAGTATTGTTTATTTTTTAGAAATAGTAAGTTCTTTCTATGAAAAGGAAAATTCTTCTGCATTTACGGTTTGAAACGTTAAAATTTTGCAGTGGGATGAATTTCTCTTGATTCTAGATTTTAGAAGTTGACTCTGAAAAATCCCACCTTATCAACATACAAAGCAATCAAACAGATGAAAAATACTATTATCATTCCGAGCTAAAGAGTCAAAATATTCAGAAAATACAAGTTAAAGTAGATGTACTGTGCCCATGTCTACGTTTCTGTCAAGAGCTATTGCTTTCAAAAGAACGGATAAAAAGACAGTTGCAATTGGTAAGAAACCACAAAAATCAAAAATTCAAGTGAGAATAGTTGTTATTTTTCAGCCATGAATATTTCAAAATTCTAACAATTGATATGTGTGAATTATGTTTTAGTAAATGAAATAAAACTCTAATACTGTAACCAAATACTTTTAAAATGTATTATGTCGTCTTGTTACACAATATTACATCATAACAATGTGACCTTAATTTGCGCGAAAAACTATGTGAGCTTAAAAAGTGCGTGGAGCTGTATAGTCATGTGCAATTAAATGTGTATAATCATGGAATAAACTGCACCATTTTAAGGGTATCTTGGACCTATATTAGAATAACATGCAATCGGGTATTTGACTCTTTTACAAAAAGGGAAGGAATTCTAAAATGAAAAGAAGAAATATGGTCTCTTTCAAATTCATTTTCATGAAGATTGCATCACAGGAAAGTGTTCGTCTAAAGAAATTCTTTAAAGGTACGAGGACTGTTCGAAAAGTAATGAGACATTGTATATATTTTTCCCTCGAATGAATATCTTCATAAACATTTCACAAACGCTAAGAATTCATAAAAGCAAAAAATATTAAATTTCTCTTCAGTGGTATATAAATGTGTCAATGGTACGTAGGGGTACTCGGTGCAGTCACGAAATAAGATTTTGAAAATATATAACACCAATGGTCAAACCCCTGTGGACCAATAACATGAATAATAAGAGCGAAAATAATTCAATACTTGTATAAAGTTTTTTTAGTGTTATTTCGCCTCAATGTTGTGCACATTTGTTAGAATCATCCTAAGCCATGTTTACGAGGGTAGTTCAATAAATAATGTCCTGAGTTCTATGACATACAACTTAGAAATCATATGTCATAAGTCTTGACTTTCTTCTATGATTGAATCTTTAATGAATTGACTACAGTTTATATGACCACTTTTTATCACATAGTTTCATTATGGAGTAAAAGTAAATGTCTCAATAATTTCCAAACAGACCTCGTATATATACCTATAACCATTGTTTGAAAATACGTTGAAAAATTTCGCATTATTTTTTTTTTCTCACAACATGCACAATGTGTTAACTCTGGGACCACGTTAAAGCACTTTGAAAAAAAAAACTAACCGTAATTCACTTTTTTGTACCTGTTAATCAACAAGGGCCCACTGACCTTATAGGTCACCTGAGTATTCGTAACAACTTTCCAACTATTGAATTCGATTCGTGTTTTAAACCAGATGCCACCAATTTCACAATTTTGAAAGAGGCACCATTGCTTATCATAATTATACACTAAACATGCTTACGTTGGTTACTTAATACCCAGAGGTAGATCAGAGTAACAAAGAGAAAAAGCATTTCCACTTTGTAACCACTTATGCACCCCATCCCACAGGAACCACTGACTCTGGTGTCACATATTTAAAAAAGAATGAAAATTTTTCATGAATTTTATTTCATCATAAATTATTGATTAATATCAAAATGGAGATTTCAAGGCATTAATTTCCAGCCTATGTACCCTCCTCCTCCAAATACCTCTGAGCCAGTGGCCCGGAAATTAACCATTTTGAAAGAGGCAGCTTTCTTCATCATAACTATGTACTTAGATCATTGGCATAATACCCAGGAGCAAAGGAAAAGATTTTCAAAGAATTCATGCATTTTCATTATATAAACATTAGAGCCCCGCTGTAAAATAAGAAGTCCTGACCCAGGGGCATTGAAATTCAAAAAGGCCTCTTTCCACTTTATAACTATGTATATAGTTCACTGGTTTAATACCCAGCAGCAGAAAAAAAAGAAAAAAGAGAATTTCAAAGAAATAATTCATTTTCACTATATAACCTTAAAAGCCCTGCCCTAGCCAAGAAACACTGACTCTGGGGCAATAAAATTCACAATTTTGGAATAGGCAGCCGTATTCAACTTTACTATCATTTGATTAGTTAATTTAATGCCTAGGAGCAAAAAAGAAGAATTTCAAAGAAATAATGCATTTTCACAATATAATCTATTTAGCCCCGCCCTAGCACTAGAACCCCTGACCCCGGGGGCCTGAATTTCAAAATGCTGGTGGAGGACTCGATGCTGATTACAATCATACCAACAGTTTGACTGATTGATGCCCAGGAGTAAAGAAGATTTTTAAAGATTGCACTTATTTTAGTGGTTTTTGCCCCATCCTCCGGGCTCCTGGGGGGGGGGGGAAGAGACCATGAAATTCACAATTTTTGTTCCCCTCCACCCATAAATGTATGCCAAAATTGGTTCAGCGGTTTCAGAGAAGAAGCTGAAACTGTTGAAATGCTAAAGCACGACGGTCGACGACGGACAAAAACGTATAGCAATAATTTACTCAGGTGACCTTATGTACATGCTTTTTGCCAAACCCTGTTGAAATTGTTTTGTGATTCCAGAAAAGAAACTAAAATGAGCGAAAGTTTAACATACACACAGAAATACGACGACATTCAAAAACAGATAGCAATAAGTGACTCATATTACATAAAAAATCCAGACTTAATATTATAAAATTTGTCCATGTATACTTCATTTTTACTAGGTGGTACAGCAGACATGATTGTTGAACAGAATACGTTAGATGGTAAACTGAAGCCTGTTCTTAAAGCATCTGGTGGTTTGTGGGGAGGAAATCGTGTTAATGGAGAATTTTGTAGCTTTATTTCTGAAGCATTTGGCCAGAATATATTCAATATCTTTGTGAGAGAAAACATTTGTGACTTTTTTTACCTTAATGGCCAGTTTGAAATTAAGAAAAGGCAAGTTACCAAACATTCGACAGATAAGATAATAATGCAACTACCTGTAACATTATCCGAAACTTACACCGAAAAATCAGGCATGATGCTTGCCAAAACCATAAAAAATACAATATACAGTAAGGATATTGATGTAAACAGGGGAAAAATTGAATTAACTGCCGAAAAAATGCGTTCCTTTTTTACAAGGACATTACAGGGAATTGTTGAGCATGTGCAAATGATCATGAGCAAACCAGAATGCAAAGACATAAAGCATATTCTATTGGTGGGTGGCTTTTCAGAGTCACCCTTGGTTGTTGAAGAAATCCGTGCACAATTTCCAACGAAAATCATTATAAATCCTACTGACTCGGGTTTATCGGTTTTAAAGGGTGCGGTTCTTTTTGGGTTTGATCCAAAAGTTGTTACCGCCAGAGGTTGTCCTCTCACGTATGGAATATCACTTTATGATTCTTTTGACAAAACAAAACATGACTTTTCGAAATCAGTACTGTTGGGGAAGGAAAGAGTTGTCCTTGGATGTTTTGAGAAGATTTTTACTATCGACGAAATTGTTGATGTTGGAACTAAAAGATCCATAAACGTCTATGAAAGTTACAAAGGACAATCCGAAGCTTTAAGAAAGAAAAGTAAAGAGATTGAAATTTTCTCCTCAACTGAACCTAATCCTCTGTATGTAACGGAGCTAAGTTGTTCTCGTCATGGACGAATCATTGTACCACCACCTAATGGCAGATGGCCTGACAAGGTGAAAGGCAGAATTGAATTTGAATTTGGACAGACTGAGCTTATCGTTCGATACATTGATAGAGAGACCGAGTATATCGTTACGGGAAATGTAGATTTCCACGCATCTGAAAATGAATTGAATTTACTGAGCTCCTCAGTAAGAAAATTGTAATAAATTTTTAAGGAAATGAAAATAAATGCGTCAGTTTTTCTCGAAGGTTAAGAAATTTGATGAACGATGATGGTCTAATATTATATTTATACGGCATATACATTTATTTGCATTGGAAAAGTAAAAAATAATGTTGCTTTGTATCCAGGATTTTGGCAAGGTTTACTTTAACCTTTCTATCATCAAAAAGGAATATCTGCTACATTAACTTTAATCACATATAGAAGTAATATTTTCAAAGAATGTCGATTGTACATTTTTTGTAGATTTTCAAAGATAATAGATTGTACATTATTATGTGCTTCGATTGCAGAAAAATATGTAAAAATTTTTATATCTTTTTTTTTTCAATTACAAGTATTATCTACGAGGGCTGTTCAATACATAATGTCATCGGTGCTCGGAAAGAAGCAAAAGACGCTTTTCAATGATTTAGTCTTCATGATTTTATTAATCTCTTTTAATTGTGACACATGTCCGTAACATTTTTATCCAATTTCTGATTGTTTTAGTACTCATTTTCAAGTATGTCCCTTAGTATACTGGAAAATGGCAGATACAATGATTTCCTGGACTTGTGTCTTCGTTTTGATAAGGTGTTTTTCAAGTTTGGAAATAGAAACAGGTCAAAAGGTAACAGATCTGGCGAATATTGTTAATGTGAAAAAAACATTAACTTTCTGTTTATCCCGAAAACCCCTTTACTCATCAGGGCGTGCGGGTTTGGACGCTTCATATAGAAATTAAATGTAGTGGATACCTGATCCTGGGTCCTTACTCTAATAAACCTTTCGATTTTTATGCAAAAAAATTGCTTTCTAGACTCCTCCAGAAGTTACACTGTCTCCCCGAATACTAATTTGAACAACAATACCACTAATATTTAAGAAAATCGCATATGAATATTTCTTTGTGCTCTTATAATTCTTTGCTCATGTCAGACCTTCGCTGTTTTTATCAAGTACATCTTATGGTTAATTTTTTTTCAGGGTTTTAAGCAATACATTCAAGTTCCATTATCTGTTTGAATATCAAACAAACGTGGATAAATACAGTTACTGATAATTTAAAATAATTGTTAAGACATTCGTACATGCTGTCGTTTGCACTCATTTTTCAAAATATAGGGTGACCTTTGAGTACTAAGCATTTTTTTTACCATCAAACGTTTCTTAAAAATAGTGTAATCTACCTCCGAAATGATGTCTATCAATTTTGATATATCTTAAAGTCAATCATACATCATCAAATATTATTTGTTGTAATTTGGCAAACAGTACGTAAGTTGTAATAATTTTTTTTTTGGCAAGGATGGTACGTTGATTCCTATTATATATTTTTTATCATTGAATTCACATGCTCATTCGTCTATAAAACAGGCATTGGTTGCTGTAAATGTCACATATTTCAGTGAATATTTCTTTGGGATTTTTAACAAGTTTTACAGCAGCTTTAATTAGGCTTTTATTTTTACTCTAGTTTACTGATTCTTTACCATTCATTTATGATGCAGTGTCTCGAATAGCCCTCGTTTTCCAGCTTCTCGCAATGAAACTATGTGATGAAAAATGGTCACATAAATTGTTATGAATTCATTAAAGATTCGATAATGAGGGAAAGTCAAGCTTAATGTCTCATCGATATCTGTATTGTATGTCATACAGTTCAGGACATTATTTATCGAACAGCCCTCGTATTTCTAAATTGATTGATTTGTTCAGCCAGGTTTTTAAAAATCTGAATGAAAGAAATATAAAGTAGCTTGAAATTAACTACATTTTATCAATTAAAATTGATTTTTAATCTTCATTTTTTTTATCTTATTAATTATTCCAAATAGAATAAACTAGTATTTTGTTTACATGTATATATGCAGGTTGAATATTTTACAGTTTTGTTGGGTTTTTTTTTTCAATTCAGATATACATAGTTTCCAATATTACTGAAATGTACATGTACTTATATGGTTGAAAAACAAGTTTTTATTAATATGGAATAAAAGTTGCTTATTATAAATTCACCTAGCTGAAAGCTCAAGTGAGCTTTTTGTCTGTACACATAGTCCGTCTGTACGTCTGTCTGTCTGTAAACTTTTAACATTTTCTACCTCTTATCCAGAACCACGGGGCCAATGTCAACCAATTTATTAAACTTGCCACAAAGCATCCTTGCTTGAAGGGAATTCAAGTTTGTTCAAAAGAAGGGCCCGGCCCTCTTTCAAAGGGAGATAATTAAAAAATGGTGAAAATTTGGTGGCGTGTTTATAAAATCTTCTCAAGAACCACTGGGTCGGGAAAGATGAAACTAATGTTGAAGCCTCCACGGGTAGTGTAGATTCAAAAAATGTTCAAATCACGATCCCCTGGGCCACAATGGACGTTCAAAGTTTTACACAGGAGTATATAGGAATAATCTTTAAAAATCTTCTTCTCAAAAACAACAAATTAAAGCCATGATTGGTCATATTTATATGGAAGTATCCTCAGGTAGTGTAGATTCAAGTTTGTTCAAATCATGATCCCCGGGAATAGTGTGGGGCCACGTTGGACGATCAAAATTTTACATAGAAATATATATACATGAAAAATCTTTCATAAAAAAATTTTAAATTGAAAAGTTCTGATTGTGACGTCGCGAAACTAACTTAACCAAAATATAAATTATATTAATTATTTTCGTGCAAAAATGTCTACAGATTACTCCTTTCATCTTTTCAGGAATCACTGGTTGACAGGGAATGAACCTGCTCTCATGTTCTATGTTTAAAGGGTCCGTGTTTGATCTGCTCTCAATTGTTCACGTAACTGAATTTTTTAACATGTACATAAAATAATAAACACTCTGTGTATTGAACGAAGCTAACATATACTTCTGAGATATCAACACTTCACAAATTATACGGATTTTAGGACGTGTTAACGTTAATTATGAGCAAGATTTTTTTCTTACAAATGCTATTTTGGGGCAGAATATGCATTTTTCAACTAGCTGTCCTCCCATACGTATTGGTTTTTAAAAAAAAGTGTTTGACACATGTACCTTCTATCAATTCGGGAAATACTTTTATTGAGAAATGTCTGATTTAAAATAATGAAAGAGCCTTAACAAGTTTGAAGTATTTTACTTTGTTATAAACTGTATAAAAAATGGATGTCATCTAAAGATTCAACTTTTCATCCTTTGCCATTTAAGAAATTGTGCAGTATCCTGGAAAGAAAAATAAAGACAACACTTGGGTTAATTGTAACAAGTTAAGATAACGAACGGTGATCGCTTTCGTAAATACGTCAAACAAAACAAGTCAGTGAACAGGGCATAAACACAGATTCCGAATGGATCGGGTGCCAGTGAGGAGTAAGCAACCCCCTGATGACCGCTCACACCCGTTTTGAGCCGTATGTTTGCTTCAAAAAATAATTTGTGGTTCAACAATTAGACTGAATGCATTTGAAAACAGAATTTATCCATTGCATTCAGATGATTCTTTTTTACTCACGTTCATCTACAACGAATTTGCATCATGAAATTTAGCTGCATTACCTAAGTATATACTGGGAACTTAAAAATATGTAGCTTTTATATGAGTCATACATGTACAGATATGTGAAAGAGAAGAGGGAATCAAGTATAATTTCTCAGTGATATTGAGTTTATTATTTAACGATATACATAATGTATAGTTTACTGCTAACGTACCTTTCTCGCGTTTGTACTCTTTCCAAATTTCACCGAGTCTCTGATCCAAGTATGAACCCCTTGTTCGGACGCTTTTACCCATGTTAACTGTAGTAACTTGTCGTTTAAATGTTGCTTCGTCATATGACCTCCTGATGACCTTGACATATTTCAATCGTCCTAATTCCTCAAGTTTCTGATACAGAAATAATCTTCTGTTTCCACGCACCACAAACCAACGAGGGGACCAATAGCTGTTATTCTGCATAATTTCTATCATTGGCAGGGATTCCACACTGATTTCTTCCCACAGCAGTTCGCGAAATGTTTCCTCAAGCGATCGTCCATCGCTAAAATATGATTGGATACTGTCGTGAGCGAAACAAATTTCTGAAGGTCTCACTGACACTATTTGAACATACCCGCTACTTCCCATGATGCAGCAGCGCAATTAGTGTGTGTATCCTTTTCTTTTTCTAAAGAAACCCCGAGGATGATGTTGATACAACAAATACATATACTTTAAATGCTTTCATATCTATCTATTCACATGTTTATCAATTTATTGTTGTTATCATGCACTCATATTTTATTTGCATGTAGATCATGTAGATTGTACATAATCTTGTTAAGACAAACTAGTGTATAAAGAATTTTTTAAAAGATTTGTTTTGCATTTCAAAATATCTTGACTTATAAAGCACTATATAACCATTTAATAATTATGTTGCTCAATTATTTTGTTAACCAAAATTTTTAAGAAGTTAATTTTAATATTATATTAACAGCTGAAGATTTTCTTTTTACCGGTAGTCAAACGTTCATTTTTCTATGTTCAGTTTTGTGTCATTACACTTTAAATTTAATTTGATGAGGTTAACTCCAGATACTACTTGTCGTATAATTATTTAGTACTTTTTATGGTATATATCCTTAAATTTATATTTCTAAATTTTATGTTAAAATGATTGTTGGACTTCTAAACAAATATTACTTATGAATAACTTTGACTGTATTTATCTTATAAGTTCTAAATGTATATGTAATACACACCTTTTTTATCTAGACCATATTTATACCATTCTTATTAGGTGAGAACATTGTTTTTATATTGACCTACTTTACAGATGTCCTATCAGTTGCCTATAGATCGGATGTCATCAGCTCTATAAGTAACTGATAGGTCATCTGTGAATAAGATTGATGTCCTTACTCAAAAGTCGACATGTATTGTAAGTGTTTCTATCAGCCCATATTGACCCAAGGCAATGCAACTAAAACATGCAGAATTATATCAAGAAATTCATCTGGTTTTTAAAAAATTCAGAAAAAGTGAGAGAGAAAGAGAAAAGAACGGAACATATTCTATTTAATTTTGCTGAATGGAGATATAGAAGAAAGAATTAAGTTTTTTTTTTAAACATTTTATAGATTCTTGATCTTTTTGTGTGTGTGTGTGTTTAAAAAAATGAATTATACTGTCTAATTTCTACATTATTTTAGATATCTTATCTGACGTAGCATCTTTTTTGAAAGTGGGTGTGGGGGATGCAATGTTACTGGAAATAAAAATGTAAAAATTGTCAACAAAAAAAGGCAAAATTGTCCCAACTCTAAAATCCTATTTCTTGTTTGTGTGTGGATAAAGGGGGGATCACGTTTCAACTTCTTTCAGTGCCAAATTCTTTTTTATTTATTTCTCAAACTTACTTCATTTCCCTTATTTGACAAACAAAAGGAAGGAGGGATAACAATGGACATTAATTCTGAAAACAGAAATTAACCGTTTTTGTAGTTTAAGCAATATATATGTATCTTCCTTCATATTTCAACATCCAGTCACATGTACAGACACTAAAATTTGGTTGTGTTAAATTGGTTATCCAAAATTTTAAATTGTAATTTATATGCGTATATTTCACCGGCTACATTCTTCAAATTTCAAGACTAAAAAGTTTGTACAAGTTTATATATTTTTTATTGCTAAAAGAATAATAATAAAACATAGTCTTACAATGGTAATTTATGCAAAGACTAAATATGAGGGATGGAAAGCTAGATGCACACATCATCTTTTGCCCGGGCTACGAAACTATACATGACCCTGAAAATAAAAATAAACACATTATCAGACATTGTCTTGAATATAAGATTCTAGATATCATATGAAGACTAGTATAAAGCACGACTTACAAGAATTTTGATATTCGTTCCAAATTTGGTTTAGTTTCTGCTCTAAATCTGGATCGCCCCTTATCCTGATGCTCAACCCCATATTCCTTGTCGTATTCTGTCTGTTGAACACATCTGAATCAAAGGGTTTGTTGACCATCTGGACGGTAGTCACTCGGCCCAATCTTTCTAATTTCTTCAGAAGGAAAAGTCTTCTGTTTCCTCGCACTACATACCAATAGCCGTTATGCTGCGTGACTTCAATCATAGGTAGACTGTCTACTTGGATTTTTTGAAATACGAGTTGGCGAAAAGTCTCTTCCATGGGTGTTCCATTTCGAAAATTTGCCTGGATGCTATCGTGCGTATAACGAATTTGAGAAGGTCTCATGTACACAGTAGATTCTCCGTTTCCCATTGTGCAGCGACAACGTATGGAATGTTTTACTTTCTTTTTTTTTTTGTTTCTAGGAAACTACTTTCATTTTCGTTTTTGTTTACATAACGCACAACAAGAGCCCAATTTTCAGAAAATGTGAAAAAATATAAGTGCATTTGCAATTTTTTATTCGTATTTTCTATTTTCATTTTTCATGGAAACGTTTTTATTTATATTCATCTTGGATTTCATTTGAGTGCCCAACACGTATACATATACATGTACTCACCCGGGACTGTTACAGTAACTGGGCATTTTTTGCCGAATCATTTTTTTTTTCATGCTCTTACAGGGTTTAATATATAAAATCAAAATGACTGGAAACAAGAAGAAAATTTGCCAAAACTTTAAAAATGCTCCTTAACTGCTGTGTGTGTGTGTGTGGGGGGGGGGGGGGAGGGAGGAGGAGGCCAAGAATAAAGATCTAAGTAATTTATTCTCTCAGACATCATTCTAAAAATAAATTATTTTTCCCAGATAAAATTCAGTAATGAAAACTTCAAAATGTCGGAAATGAGGAGATGAATATTTTCAACAAGAAAAAAATTACCGAAATGAAGATATTTTTTTAAATTTGCATTTTATTTAATAAATTAACAAAAATGACTTAATAAGGCATGTTCTGGTTTAGGAAGCATGCTATGCAAACTATGGTATTCAAATGATAATTAATACGAATAAATATTTTGTGATTATTAATTGCGGAGGTTTAAAATACAACTGCCACATTGACAAACATCAACGGAACAAAAAAAGATATTGATTTGTCACCTGAGGATCAAACCGATAACCTAACAATAATTCAGACATTTAAAAAATGTCTGCTTTACTTAGGTTTAGTGGGGTATTTTATGAATTATCAGAATGAGAACACGCGACTGTCTGAAAGGTTTCCGTTGTAAGAGAAATGTCTTGATATGGCTGAATCACCAAGGTAGGCGAATTAATATTATCAATTTTGTTGGGGAACAATAAGATCTATATATTTAAAATATTCTTGAAAAGTTTAGGATAAATGAACAGATGGACATTTCTGGTTGCTGTAAGAACTATTATAAAAACGGAAACTTTTTTTTCAGTCTGAATATATATATATAAACTATTTTTTCGGGGGGGGGGGGCAAAATCGCGGAGAGCGAAGTCTCAACTTATGAATGTGCATTAATTGATTTAATTTCTATATTTTGGAAAAGGAAGTCTTGTAAAAACAAAAACTGAAAGCGAGAATCGGTACTTACATGTAGTTAGCTGTATTTTTTCTATTAGCAATTTTTAATTTCATGATTACATACATGTATACTATATCTTTCTTATTCATGTTATTTGAGACATTCCTTGACGGAATTAAGGCCACACAAGACCAGGAAGTACGGGACTTCATATCTTGACAAGATTTTTAAACTTATAATAGCCCACAGCGAACCTCAACCGTGAACTTTAAAATTTAGTGTATTCATTGAGTGCGATAAATATATTACTTTTTGTATATTGGCATATTCATGAAACTGTCTAAAATACAGGAACGATAAATGATGGTTATCTAGCTTTTAACCCCCCAAAACAGGCATCATTTATTTTATTATAGGGGCCTACTGAATGTCTTCTTGATTTAGGATGTCAGAAAAAAAAAATCGTCGATCGTCTTTACGTTCACATTTAGAAAGCTTTCAAACTCCACGCTACTTCGAAAGATTTACTGACCTCTTTATTGTTGATTTGATACTCTAAGAGTCCTTTATCATCTAAATTTTCGTTATTTCTGCACTCGCAAGCATGTTTCGTCTGTCTTTTGTTGTTTTCAAGAAAGCTACATCGGACGCAAGCTTTTATTGACGTCAAGTTTATTCCAGTTCTTTCAAACGCACAACTGACGTTTTGAGAATTCTACGGTGAACCGTACGCGCATAATTTCCACGCATGTGACATTACCGTTGTGTCATCCGGAACACCTCGGGCCTTTCACAGAAAAACACGTGTTTTTCAGTGAAAGACCCGAGGTGTTCCGGATGACCGTTGTGTTACCAGTTGTCACGTGTGTTGCTAAGGCTGAGGGTAATAGAACAGATTGTTAACTGCGTTTAAACCAATCAGATTTTAATATTTAACATGAAAGTATAATAATAGAGTTTGACATACTTTTGAAAATAATATTAACCTTGACCATAAATTTTGAACAAGCGGTGCTAAGGCTTTTTCTTCTCAAGTAATAAGTTAAATATCTATTTTTATTCTAGTAAGACGGTCCATGCAAAGAAATTAGTTGCCTCAATAGATATAGGGACGGCTTATACCGGATATGCTTATTCTTTCAATAAAAAGCCATACGATATCACGGTAAGAAAATGGACGGCAGATGGCGTTGTGTCACCTAAAGCGCCATCTTCAGTCTTACTCACACCGCAGCTGACTTTTGATTCCTTTGGGTATGAAGCGGAAAGGAAGTTCTCCGATTTATTTGCTAAAAAGGGTCATAAAGATTGGCATTTCGTCCAGGGTTTTAAAATGGCACTGAATGAAAAACAGGTATGTCTTTGATGTAGTACATGTACATGTAACTTGGCAACCAGAGAAAGAATTAATACAAAGGAATGGATTTTTGATTGTAGTTTTCTCAATATGGTGTCAACTTTTAGATATGTACAGCGTAAAAATAGTCATTTATTGAAATAATATCATAATTGATTATTCTTTTTTCCCTTTGTTTACATTCCTTGCAAAACAGGACATTTTTGTTGAAATTGGATATCTTAAACTCTTCATTCCTCCGTAAGGGTCAATGCTATTAATCTATTTTTCTCCGTTTTGTTTATTATTTTTCAGAAATTTGATATAAATTTCCTAACTATAACCGATATCCAGAACCACTTTGTACCAGCTACAGCAGTGTTTACCGGGGTCATAGGTTATCTAAAGAGAGACTTAATGGAACAACTGCAGAATGGGGGTCATCACTGTAAGATGGATGACATTCAATTTGTTGTCACCGTACCTGCCATATGGAGTGATGCTGCAAAGCAAGCAATGGCAGATTATTCAGCATGGGTAGGGTGCAATCTTGATTTATATATCAGCTCGTTTGTTTCTTTGTTTTTTGTTACTCCTTTAGTGTATTTACTGGAAGAATTCATTTCGTAATTTTATTTTTCAGATAGGAATCAAGAAAGAAAATCTTATAATAGCCTATGAACCGGAAGTAGCAGCACTACACTGTCTGGCAATTCCAGCCAATCAAGTCACCGTGAGAACAAAAGAAAACATCGCCATGATGTTTCAACCCGGATGTTGTTTTCTAGTTTTGGACCTCGGTGGTAATTATCTATATATTATATACATTTGAAATCATCAACTCTCATCATTAATTTATACCCAAAAAAGAAGAATCTTAAAGTCGATTTATAATCCCAAAATGGTAAACTGATGTTTTGTCTCTTTTTAAGGTGGAATGGCTGACATAACGGTGCAGAAGGTGGAGAGGGACGGAAAGTTAAGTCAACTTCACGCTGCCACTGGTGGGAGTTGGGGCGGATCATCATGTGTCAACAATTCGTTCTTTCAGGATCTCATGAAAAATCTAGGACATAAAGTATATCAGGAATTTTTAAAGAAAAATATAGGCGATTATTTTCTTTTAAGAAATCAGTTTGAAAAAGCGAAACAAAACTTCAAAAACAATCAAGAAGGGGTGATTTTGCAACTTCCTTCATCCTTAGAAAAGATAACGAGAGAGGTTAATGCTAAAAGTATTGAAGAAATCCTCAAGGGGTTGGACACGCATGAGAGTTTGGCTTACAGTGATGGACAATTGAAATTTACAGCAGAATATTTCAAAACCTTCTTCTTTCAGACAATTCAATCCATCGTTGATCAAATCAGAAAGGTTTTAAAGAATAAGAAATGTAGTGAAGTAAAATATATCCTTATGGTTGGAGGGTTTTCAGAGTCTGACATTGTAAGAACCAGTATAAAAGAGACCTTTCCTGGAGTTGGAGTAATTGTGCCTGAGGAAGCTGCGCTTTCAATTTTAAAAGGAGGTGTGCTTTTTGGGCATGCGCCTGACACTGTACGATTTCGAGTTTGTCCGCAGACGTATGGAATATCTATGCACGATTATTTCAATCCAAAGGTACATGACCTTTCTAAGAGTTGCAAAATCGGGAATGCTCAATTTGTTATTGGATGTTTCGAGAAATTTTTTGAGAAGGATGAAATTATTGATGTTGGTCAGAAAAAGAGAATTCGGGTTGCCGATGACTTCACCAAACAACCGGAGGATGCACGAACACAAAATAAGGAAGTTGAAATGTACTCTTCCTCGGAAAAAGATCCAAAATTTATCTCAGATCCAGGTTGCATATTACAAAGCACTATCGTTTTATCGCCACCTGGTGGAAGATGGCCTGATATATTGAAAGGGAAAATAACTTTTGAAGTGACTGTGACCGGACTGAAAGTTTCTTTCAAGGATAGAAATACAAAATGTATCAGTGATGCTGAAGTAAAATTCACAGAGCCTGTCACATCAACCGAAATGAATCCATTAAATCGATCTTTCAGGAAGGATACTTCGTGATTAAAAAGTTTTTGATTTGAAAATTCACAATAAAATTTTGATTGATTTATCAAATATCCCTGTTTGTTTTAAAATACCATAATTATATCGATATCAGGTCAATGCAGGTAGAAGCAGTGTTTCTTTTTAATATAAGAATTTTGTACTGGTCTTACAGTCGGCAAACAGAAATCTCAAAATCCATTTGTTACACAAGGATGACAATAAATTAATAAAAAACCATAAACTCGCGCTGTCGCAGTGATATGATTTTTATTAATTTTCGTTGAATGGGATATTGATTTTAGAAATTGAAATCTTTTCTTTTTTTCTAAATGAAATGTACAGGGGTATTAATATTTCTACGACCTTGCAATTTTCTTTAAGTGAGGAAAACATTACATGTACATGTGTATACATACAGTACTAGTTTATCTTGTTTTTTTAACATATGTATTTTCTATTCAGTGCGTATTG